AGGAGAAGCCGTTTTTAAAAAGTTTAGCGAGAGGATGGCAGTAGCAGATTTAAGCAGTCGGCAGCTCAGTGTCGCATCAAGGTAAAAAAAACTGAGACAGCAATATATTAAGGTCCGTGACAGAAGGGGCTGGATTTCCGTTTTTGGTCCTGGCCAATCAATGAGCCAGGTTTTCTTCTTCCTCATGCTTTTTTTCTTCCTGGTCAGTGGTCGTTTTGGACAATACCGCCCTCAAACGAGCAGCTGTTGTAACAGCGCAACATTGTCTAGGCAGTTTGGTCCGCGTTAAAAAGTGCAGTGTGAAAGTGAACCGAACCAAATGGAAAGGTGTGAAATTTTTCGACATTCCCCGCCCAATCGAACCGAGTCCCCCGGACTACCCTGGTGTGAATGCGCCCTCAGTGCTTGTGTGTGTATCCCACTGGGTGGCTGACTGCTGGCATTTTGCACAGCGCTCATATACCGCTGATACAGCATCCCGACCAACATCGGCATCGCAAAAGCATGGCAACCGCCCTCTGGTTTCCCCCCAGGTTAACACTGTTAGCTCTGTCCACATTGTGCTGTTTGACTGTTAGATGTTATCTGCTAGCTGCCAATGATCTTAACAAATAATCTGTTTTCATCACTTGGTGCTTTGACACACCTCAGTCTACTGAAATGTATTTAAGCTGGTTATCTTGTGGAAACTTGTATCAAAACAATATGAAAATATCTTCTTAAGCTTTCCTTTAAATGGCTGCTTGGTTAATTCATGAAATGACCTATAATCTGGAACAGGCCTCTGTGCCTTCACATCCACAGGCTGATTCAGAGTTTGAGCTCTTCACAGGCGTGTTATGATGCCCTGAGGAGAGATTTATCTTTACAGTAACTCTCTACTTAATTAGACATGACTTCTCTCTGTGCGCGTGCGTGCGTGCGTGTGTGTGTGTGTGTGTGGCAGATGGAAGGAGTGCCCCCGTTGGTTTTGTGCCATGTTGGTGAAATACCAGGATGTGATGCCACAAGCTCTGAATCACACACACACTCCACCATAACCATCCCTCTTTCTTCCCTGTTATCTGACAGCAGAAGTGACTCATGTGCTACTGCTCGCTGGCTTCACCACAGGATGTCGGCAAGTTCCATCACGTTACATCCAAGAACAGAACGGGAACTGCCTCATGTTCCTCGAACTCTTCATCTTGTGGAGCTCTAACCTCTCAGGTAACTCAGGTACCTTTCCATCTGCTTGGATGTTCTGTTTAACAGACAACTTTAACCTTCATCCTGATTCAGTCACATAAATTAGCAAACTCTGAGTCATCTGAAGATCCTCTCTTACACAATATTGCTGTCTTTCTGACGGCTGAATCATCATCTGTGGTTTGATAAGTTGCATTTCCAAATAATAGGACATTTGGCCTCACGCAAGAACCACTTGGACAAACAGAGCTGTTGTTAAACTGACTGATTTAAGAGAATTTGTGGCATTTAACATTTTTTTCTTAGGTATGAATGAAATTTAGGAGAGGTCCAGACCTGTTGTACAAGTCATCGACAGCAGTCTTTCTTTCTCCTCATACTGCCTTGATCTAAATGAATTTTGAGTTTAAATAGGGGGCCAAAATGAACTAAAATTAGGCATAACTAAGACAAACTTAATGCAACATTACTGTTCTGTCATCACCGTGACTTGTCAGGTTAATGAGTTTCTTTTTTTGGCATATCAGTAACTTCTACAGTTCAGTAATAGCTGAAATATGTTGTCACTTTGACAGCTGCCTCAGGGTCTTTCTGCAGGTCACTCTCTAGTATCATCCTCTGCTGCACCCAACAGTTAACAGTTTTAAACCCCACCGTAGGTTGAACAGTCTCTCATCTTTTTCTCAGTTGATGTCTTTTTGCATCCAATGCTACATCACACGATTCCCTCTTTATGACTGTAACAGTACAGCACACTGCTCCAATGACACATCACCAGCAGCTGTGCTATTAATATTTAATAGTTTTGGGTTCTCTAATACGACACTGTAAAACTTGTCATCTTTTTGAATACTAATTTCCAGCTCTGCAGTGTCAAACCCCCCTTTTACACTTCCTGTTCAAGGCAGAAATGTCGTGCTGTCATTCCGCCTTGGCGTTCTGTATAAAAGGTACGATCACAGAATTAAGGGACAGACTTGTTTCGCCTCTAGGCCAGCAGTGGTGGGAATAACAGCGCCAAATTGATCGTGTAAAAGGGATAGCTGGCAGGACAGAACATGTGTTATGTTATGTGTTCAACCCACTGCAGGGGGATTTAAAAGGCAGCTAATAACAGTCATATTTGTCATGTCATTCTATTGTTATTGTTTAGAAAGTACTGCCCGACACATATGTTACATGTCACACTGGAGGCTGACACCACTGTGTTACACATCACACCCTTTACGCTTCTTTTGCTTCCGTAACGCCGGCATGCTGTTTAAAAATCACAAACTGGGGCGGCGCGTAGTGAAGGGTCTTTGTTGCGGCCATATTGCAGGATCTCTGTGTGAAAAGGGTGACAGTCTTCTTTTTACACTTCCCAACAAAAATGGAGGGGAGCAGGAAGGCAATATATGACAAGTGACCAAGTGTCATGAACATGAAACATTCATCAGGCAACTTTACAATGGGTTTTTCCAGTTAAGAGAGTTTGGTGAATCTGAATTGTAAAACTGGTGCAAGAGAGCCTCACAGAAAGAAGTGGAGGATGAGAATACGATTTCTGAAGAGAAATTCTTGCAGGAGGCCAGATGTGGTAAATAATAAAAGCACATGATTCCACCTAAATCAGATCCAAAGTGGTTTATACGTCGAATGTTACACCATGTGGAAAAAGAGGACTACCACAGAAGCAGTTACACATGCGATGCAGGAGTATTGATGCGTCCATATTTTTTTTTATCTTGACAGAAACACAGTGTGTGCAGTATTCCAGACAGCAAGTCAACACTCAGCCACGATCTGTCCAATCTGAAGATTACTCATTAATCTGCATCATTTACTCCATTAATCTACAAGTTGCTAGTTCTGTAAAACATCAGAAGATATTACCATCATTACTGCAGAAATCCCTAAGTGATGTCTTAAAGGAAGACTTTACCCACAAAATGACCGTGTGTACATCAGTAAATGTATGCTGTGTTACCTTGAATTCATGAAGACAACCTTGCTATATAAAACCGAAAATGAAACTTCATCTATACTCCAGCCAGACTCCAATACTAAGGTTTTTTTCCAGCAAAAACACGTGTTTGGGAAGCTCTGAGTACACAACTGAATAAATGAGACTTGGATTATACTGCATGAGTTGTGTTAGAGTTTGTAAGTGGATAATTTGGGTGTTGTTAAACGTGGTCCCTGATCAATCAATAAGTCAATATGTTTGCTGTTTTCTGTGGAGGCCTGTGAGAAAAACAATTTCATCATGAATTCAAGGTAACAAGGCAAATTGTCATTTTGTGGGTGAAATATTCCTTTAAAATTGCTGTGTGCTGGACTTAAAGTGAATTAAATAAAGATATCCAAAGTACTGTAATGTCAGACTGAGGAAGCGGCATGTCTTTACATTAGAGAAGCTGGAAAAATGGACTAAAACACCTCTCAAAATAAATGCTGATTCATTTTCCGAAATGACGAATCGATTAACTACCAAACTGTTGTAGCTTTAAAATCAGATAAGGGTCCCTGAAATGTGTTTGTGAAGAATTATTAACAAACTATTTAGAATGTGAAGGACATTATGGCTGAAAAATACATTTGACAGTAAATACATCAGTAACGGTATAAAAAAATTGAACCAACTGAACTGTAACAAACTTTAAATAAAGTACTGCATTGGTAGATGTTTTCTCAGGCTGAGGTTTTGACAATCAGCAAATCACCAGTGATTAATGTGCCTTTATTTGTTTATTTATCCTTTGTTTACCACTATTTGTTTGACATCACTCAACTGCACTGTGGTTTCTTGTTAGCTTTTGTCAGATACATGCACAATCAGATGGCAAATATATTTGTGAAAAGCTACAAACAGACAGTAAGATTGGTCACGCCGTCTCATCCATCAGGCTCCACACACACCAGAACCTTTCCTGCCTATGTTGGACAAAAAAGATGCATTCGGGGCCGACTGGAAAAGTCGAATCTGCTAACGATGAACATCTGAGAGCAGTGAAACACAGACAGACAGACAGACATACAGACAGACAGGCAGCAAAGGGCAGCCTGCTTAACAAACATCAAAGAGCACACAGCTGGTAAAATCCACCCCCATCCAGCTCTGTTACCCTCTCAGATGGCCCACTTCCAGTTTTAACCTCTGCTCATTCATTACCCAATCAACATCACCAGCACTCACATCCACTCAGTCTAAATCCAGACAATAATAACCTATGTTTTATAAGTATCTCAAGCATTCATTTATGGGAATCTTTATTTTAAATTCCACCTAGTTTTAGCATTATAGTTGCATTTTACTTTAAGCTTTCCAGCACTTGATGATTCAACCAGTCTGAAGTATGGGGTTATGACAGCCATTATAGAAGGAAGAAATGTAAATATGACTATTATATAAGGAAGTGCAAATTTTAGGTGAAGCAATGCAGGAAAATCTCCATTAAGAATGTATGGAGCAGTCATACACCCACTCTCTCATCAAGTCTGCTTTATTTTGGATTTAAAAACTGTGGTGCTGCCTACATAAGACTCAGAATAAAGTAAATGGCTTTTATAGAAGAAATAAACAAAAAATAATAATTACATTGTGAAAAGAAAGGTGTGATTGCGGGATGCCAAAAGTAGTGGCACAGAAAAATTGGAAAGATTGAGAGAAAGATATAAAATATTGTCCAAATTAATAAAAAAAAAAAAACTCCACTGCAGACACACTAAATTTTAAATATAACATGCAAAGGTGAAAGAGAAAATGAAAACCAAGGAGCTGGGATGATTTGAAAGGAATAAAAATCTTTTTAAATCAGATTTTCTTTTACCTTCATGTCGTTCATGATGAGTTGGAAGAGCCCTCCCAAGGCGCTGCATTCCTTCTCTATACCCGCATCCATTTTTCCACAGGCTCGGAAAAATCCTCCTCAACTTCCCAAACTTTTTTTACCTCCCCCCCAAAAAACTTGCAGCCAACTTTAGAAATACTCCAGCTCAAGACTCAATGGAGGCTTTTTTCGATTTAATACAGGGGAGAGTTACAACACCCCGAGGGCAAAGTCCACCTTTAAAAAAACAGCCAAAAACAGCAGTGGAAAAAAAGGAGGAAAAAAACATAGAGGAGTAAAATCCAGGTCGAGAGGAGAGAGGGAGACTATCGCTAGGCTTCAGTCAGCCGATGCTTCCAGCCGGCCAACTTGATAAACGTCCCAAAAAACACCACATCATGCCTGAATCATTCAGCAGACTGTCTGGAAAATGTCTCACAGTTGTTTTAAGTTCACCCCGGCTGGTTGGAGTCCCGGGTGAAGGGAGAACACAGCTAACCGCAGCTAGCTAACTCGGCTAGCTAGGTTAGCGTTAACTCCGCTAGCAACCTGTGACTGTGTGTGCGTGCGTTTCCAAAACACGCAGTCCGTGATCAATCAGTTCGCCGAAAATAAATCAATACGGATCTTATCTGGTGTCCAGCGTGGATTCAGACTCCCACAGCCGCTGTTTCCTGAACGTATCCGAGAGATTTCACGTTGTTTTCCAGCGAGTTTTTAGACGAGAGGCAGCCGTTCTCCTCCGGTTACTCCAATGGGAGTCCGACCCTAAAGTGAATGAGTGTGTCCCCGAGCACCGCGGCAAGTTAGCCACAGTGATGCTAGCACACATCCGGTCAAGACTTTCACAATAAAAGCCTCCATATATGTATATCTCTTGAATTTGTATTATGTGAGGGTGCCTCCTTGTCATTAATGTCTGCTTGCAAATACCAGAAAAACACCCAAAGGCTGCTTTGTGGTTGGATGCAATACTAACATGATAAAGAATCCATAATTAAGTTTTTACAAACTTGAAAAACTGAGCTCTTAAGCAGAGGGGCCCCATTACAGCTACTATGATGGGCCCTTCTTACTGTCACATGACCAAACTTTATATATATTACCCAGACTCATCATTGTATATATATATGTATACATGTATATATATATATATATATATACATACATACATACATACACACATATATATATATATATATATATATATATATACACAATGATGAGATGACAATGACAAAAATACCATCGGAAAGAAGAGGTCATTCATATCATTGTGTAGTTTTTAAAAAAATAGTTTATTTATAGTTTATGTAGGGTAAGCATACACAAGCAAACACATTTTGTTATAGATTGCTACTGACTATTTACACAATAAAAAATAAGGAAAATAGAAACATGATGGAGATTCTTTGTATGACTGTGCTAACATTTAGCCAATAAAGTTGTTTCTGATTCTAGAGAACAGAAAAAAATATAGTAAACGATAAAAAAAACAACAAGTGTAAGCCTAAAGTGGACTACAAAATATAATAATAATAATAATAATAATAATAATTTAAGACAATTAAAAACATGTTAATTTAGGAGGACTTGGATGAGACCCCTGCAGGCAGGTAACGGTGATGTGCTGACTGAAGAAAAAAACAATTATAAAACTTTATTGTGAGTGTTTTTTATAAAATTATATCCACATTTAAATATCTGTAGTTATGACAAAAGAAATAAGCAAACCAAATTTAAGTTGCCAAGTTGATAATAAGTGTATTTGCCATCAAATGCAGGAAGAAGAAAAAAACCCACACACATCAGGCTTTTCAATTTTGAGAGTTTTACATTCACATTGACTAACAGCAGTTTGCAGATAAAAGGTGTGATTTTCATAATTTTTTGCTGTAATGCTGTTTTATTTGATCTATTAATATGAGCAAACATTTAAAATCATTTATCTTTTGTTTGTCTCGTACTGTGTTTATATGCACATTTCACAAATCATACTTTTTATACATTGAAATAATAAAATACTTGCATTTCATACACTCTGTGTATTTTAACGTACATTTAAAGTACCTGTATAGGTTCATTTGTATAGATAAACTCGGTGCCTTTATTTTGAAGGCCTTTGAATTTCCGTTCGACGCTGAGTTCGCTTCGCTTGGCGCAGCTGCGTGTCTGTGAATGGAGAAGGTTTGTTTGTATGGAAGAAGCGGCGGTCCGGCGGGGCGGAGCTAGGTGAAAGATGTTGCCCAAATTTTGACTCTACTGTGTCTTTACTGACATTTTATTGGCGGGTTAAAAGAAATACAACCTGTACATAAACACATTTTAACTCTAATGTTCAGCTAATACAACAAAACTATCTTTACATAATTAAAACACTCATGACAACATTTTCAAGGTCTAGGTTCAGTATTCAGTTCAGAAGTGTGTAGGACTCTTGCACAGAGCGATAGCATTTTAAAAGGGCAGACCATACCACAACATTTGCTTTCGATCCAATACCAAGTAGCCTACAGGGCCAGAATCACAGATATCTACACCAATACCTTACTTTTATTATTAAAAAAGGCTTTTTGCTTTTTCAGAATTGATCTTCAAATGAAAACTTAGTATGCAGTATCAATATCACGGTGTCCCTCCGCCCACTCCTATATTTTATACTTTCCAATTGTATTTATTGTGTAGGCCCCTGACTTCATTGTAGTCATGCTCTGACTGTTTATTGTGGAAGATTTGGGGAATATAGTGGCATCTAGTGGTGACGACCTCAGACTGCAACCAGCTGAAAATTATCCAGGTTAGAATTCCTTCAGTGTTCATTGTTCAGAAGGTTTATCTGGAGCAAAATTATCTGCAGAGGTGTCTTCCTCTCCAGAAGGAGAAAAGGCAGCGAAATAAAGTGGGCGGCATGAAAACCAAATGGCCCTGTACAGAGCTAGTGTTTGGTTTGTCTGCTCTGGGTTACAGTAGAAACATGTCGTTGCAACATGGCGATCTCCATGGACAAGAACCTGCTCCCTATGTAGATATAAACAGCTCCAATTGTATTTATCAGTAATAAAGCCATTTGGTATCCAAGTAGTATGCATGTTGGATCACTTTCTAGATTAATGGCTGAGATTTTATTAATTTCCTGCCCTACAAAATCCCCAAACCTCTGTATTTTCCAGCAACACAGTAGGCAACAGGTAAGACGACCTGATTCTATTACCTGAAGCATAGAGGATTCATGTCAGCATCAAACTTATGGTGTTGGGAAGAGGATATATAAGCTGTGTGTAAAGTCTTGACCTGAATAGCTTTTATTTTATTATAGGCACTGTCTGAGATGTGGACCAGTACAGGCTTATGGAACATTTACGACAAGGCTGCAAAAAACAGTATAATCTGCAGAAAAGGAAGAATAACATTTATATAATTTCTCTGCCTATTTTTGCTGTAATTACCTCCTACATTCCTCATTTCTCCTGAGTTTGAGCATGTCATCAGTGTGCAGGTAAGCAGTCTGTCATCACCCACACTGAATGGTCAGCAGGAGTCGGACCAACCTCTCAGCTTCGTCGGTACTCAGGTCTGTACGACACGTTTTCAGGTCTGCTGCATGATGCATCTAAAATGACAATGTCACAAATGGTTACAACTGTTATAACTATTGTAACGTCCTTAAACAGACAATTAAAGTCACTTTATGCAACAATCGATGAGGAAGGTGAGGTAGACAAAGTAAGCCTGGTTTACACTCCCTCTTAAGGTCTCTTTTTCATTCCTCACAAAAATACTTCACTACTTAGTCACTTTTCGTGCGATCACCTGATTGCAACACTTTTGCCTTCGAGGAAAGACTGACCCCATTCTCAGACAGAAAGCTTTTTGCTTTCATGTGCGACTGTTCAGGATGGGTGTTAACACTTTCACCTTCAGACCTTGTCGCATGACACATTGTAAGAGATCTTCATAGTTTGTTTCAAGCATACCTCAGCCTTTAGTCAGAGCAAGACAAGAGTGCTTACACTAAGTGGCTCCTTAGGGCCCCTCAGGCACCAGGGGCCCCCATTCTATTTGAAAATGTGAACTCTGTGTGCCCCTGACTTCATTTTAGCCATATTTTGACTATTTATTTGTTGAGTGTGTTAGATTTAGTGGGATTTAGTGGCATCTAGTGGTGATGACGGCAGAGTGCAACCAGATGAAAATTCCCACTTAAGGAGGTTTTTAGCGGGAGCTGAGTTATCCGCAGTTTCTCTTCCTCTCCAAAACAAACAGACCTGGTGAATCAAAGCGGTGAAAAACTGAATAAAGCAGTTTGATGTTACAAATGAATGCTTTTTTGACACTGCTCGCAAATGTGCTTCTAACTACAGAGACCAACCAGGTGATTAAAACAGCTGAAAACCCTGAATAAAGCAGTTTCATGTTGGAAAAAAAAAATCGGCATTTATTTTATGCTGTTTGGCATTTCAGAGATATGCCGCTAGCCCAGCACCTGCTAATGTCTGCTCACTTTTTTCTCTGATAACTTAATTTCCAGATGTTCAGGGGGGTTTTATCGGGAGCCAAATTATCCTCTCTAGAACTGGTAAAAATGCGGAATAAAGCAGTTTCAGGGGAATATATTAGTGTTTTTCCAACACTTTTGTCAAAAAGCAGCTGCAAACTCCCGTGGTCGATGCAAAAACGTAAATGGCCCTACCTAAAGCAAGTGTTTGGTTCATCTGTTGTGGACTGCTGTTGTTGGCTTCAGAATGCTGCAGCTCGTGTTTTAACTGGGACAAATCGTAGGTCCCATATCACTCTAATATTCACCTCCTTCCACTGGTTGCCGGTTAACTTCAGAATTGATTTTAAGATTCTTTTAATAACTTTGTAAAGCTCGTCATGGTTTAGCGCTGAGCTATTTAGCTGAGCTTTTGACCACCTGTGCTACATAATGTGACCTGAGATCCTTAAGTGTGGCACAGGTCATAAAGCTAGCAGATGGGACATGGGCTAAGCTGAAACCTCACCCTGGTGTGTATTTAAGTGTTTGTTCTTCTGGTAACTTTGGTTTTAATTAGTTATTTGTTGCTACAAAAGGGATTTGAGTGATCACCGTCATCTGATGAAACATTTCCATCCTTGTGGGGGCGATCACTTTCAGGATGGCGAGCCCTGATCCACAGGGCATGAGGGGTTCACTGTAGTCTTGTGAGTATGGAAATGATCTGAATCATATGCTGCGGCCTTGTCTGTCAACAGATCTCAATTCAGTTGAACACTGTGGAAGATTTTGGACTGACGTGTTGCACAGCGCTCTCCACCATTATCAGATGAGGGAATATCCTTTGGAAGAACGGTGTTCATCTCTCAGTAGAGTTCACTGACTTGTAGAATAAATGCCAAGGAGCACTGAAGCTCCTCTGGTGGCTTGTAGCAACCTTTTCGAGACACTTAATGTTGGTTTTCCTTTAATTTGCACACACTGATTATATAATACATATACATACTGTTGTAATTGACCTGCACTTTATTGAACACCGTGGCTGCTCATGTTCAGTTTATATTCATTACTCTATTATGTAGCAACCAGCAGATAGTAAACACAAAGTCATGGTGTATTTAACTGATTCACCCAGCAACAAGCTGAGTCACAGTGCCTGCAGGCTGGTTACTGTGGCAACCAGCATACATGTGTTGTGTTTTGCTGAATCATGAGACTACCATATCCACCCATCAAACACCAGGCTGGTCTCCATGTATACAGAATGATATAACAACGATAAAA